CGTTTTTAGTCCCGGTTTTTAGTGGAACCGGGACTATTGTGAGATTTGGTCGACCGACCAAAGATGGTTTCTCCACCAGTGGTTTCTTGAGGCGTTCGAGCTGCTCCGCGCCCACAGTGAACGTCCGGCGGGAGTACCACTTGCTTTCTTCTCCACTCGATGGCGGCGCCGCCGACGGCGATACCTGCTTTGTCATGTCGACGTATTCTTATCAAGGCAACATCCAAAAACGATATTTTTTTTTCACTTTTAAACCTTTTTTATTTTAAAAATAAATTCATCAAAAATTTATTTTAAAGTTAAACATTTTGTCCATATCAACCTACCTGGCATGGCAAGACAACACTGACATATCATCTACAACGAGCGTGATAGTTTTATCCTAACATGTCAATGTAAGACAATGTCTTCACGCTATTTAGACCAGTGTGTCAGTATTATTTTGCTACGTTAGTCCGGCTGGCATGGTCAATAAGTTCCAAATCTTGTAAATAAGTTTTGAATGGGTTTATTTTTGAAATTAGAAAATAAAAAGGATTAAAAAAATCTCTAGAAAACGGTAGCACCCCATTCGCATATCTTATTGGGATGCAATAATTGGTATTAGTAGACTTTAACAACTTTATTGGTTCGCTTATACTTTGTTATGCTTATCCTTATAACTTACTAGCAAATAGCAACCAAAGAATAATAAAACAATTTATTAGTAAAACTATTTAAGTATCTTGAGTGATTGAAAAACAAATCTAAAATTAAATTTTAGCTAATAAGTATAAGCAGCGAAACAATAGATTGTTAACAACTGATATTGCCATTTAAACATTCCAAAATCTTCGGACTAATGTGCAATGATCGTTCAGATTAGGCTCCTTTGAAGGCAAAGAATTTTTTTAACGAATTTGAAATAATTGAAATCCCATTTTTTTTTCTTTGGAGCCTTTTGATGGTAAGAAATGGATTCCAAAATTCCTACTTCCTTTATTTATTTTTTTTTGGAAAACTGAAAACATTTGATAAAAGATCATGTTTTCCAATTCCCTTAAGCCCAAGGCAAATGCCTATTTACAATCCCCTTAAGCCCAAGGCAAATGCCTATTTATCTATTATAGCCAAACGTTTTCTTCACAATTAATTCTTGTGATTTTCTTATGGAGTAGCCAAACACCTATACCTCTTTTAAATTTATGTGTTTTTATTTCCTGTAGAATTGGAATAGCCATGCCACTCTTTCTATATTTTTCATTTTCCTGTATATTTCCAATCGATCTTCTGTTACCCACAACAATTCCTTTAAACGCATGTAAACCCTGTCTTCCTCCTCCCCTCTGAAACTGCTAAGTGGTGATCAGCCACACAGGGAAGGGCATGGGCGATCAGTTTCCGGACACACGAAATATTTTTTCTTTAAAGTTTATATATATACGTATAAACTTTGTACATATATATATATATGCGTATACATACATGCACGTATATAGGAGGACGTGGGGAAGGGTGTGTGGAGGGGACGACTCCACGGGTACACCCACGCACGGTTAGATGTTCATCATCATCCCCCTCCTCTCTCCTCATCTTATCACAACCCAACCCGTTATCTGTATGTCGTCTAAAGAGTTGGGATGTCGCCGGTACCCAAAAAAAAAAACAAAAAAAAGGCTCACGCCAAGATTCAGAAACTAAACGACAGTCCCATTTACAAATCTGTGGCAGTGAATCCCGAGCGATCTAAAATCTACGAGATTTCATCCTCAAATTTCTCGCATGTTATTTAGCAAATCCGTAAAATGATTTCCCGACATACCACAGGCAAGTTCGGCGTGTACTTCCTTAAGACGCTCCTGGCCAACGCCTCTCCATCCGGCAACTTGATAACCGAGCGGTCGAAGCACGGCGTCGCGGCCGGCGTCTCGCCGCGGCACGACGCCGCCCACGCCTCCACGAACATCTAGAAGGACTTCCCGTCGGCGACGCCGTGGTGCACCGTCACGCCGACCGCCACCCCTCCCACCAGACGCGTGGACTGCACGGCCATCACCGACGTCGGCAGCTCGCCCATGTCGAGCTCCGGGGCGAGCTGCTCCAGCAACCGCAGGTCGTCGTCGGGCGCGTCGCCGCCGCCGCCCGCGACGCTGCGGACGTCGGCGTCGCACTCCGCCTCCACGAACCTCACCGCGTCCGAGGCCGAGCAGACGATGGCGACGTCGCCGGTGTCCTCGAGGTGGACGAGCCTGCCGGCGAGCGGGGCGAAGGTCGCCAGCGTCGCGCCGAGGGAGGACCGGAGCGAGTCGACGATGCCGTCGAACGGCGGCCAGCTGCTGCCGGCGCTCTCGTAGAATAGGACGTGTTGCAGGAGCGGGATGCGTAGCCACAGCGCCTCCGTCGCGGTGAGCTTCATCGGCTCCGTCGGCAGCGCAGCCTTCGCCGGTACAGCGACATGGCTGACTCCCACGACACGCACAGTCACAGCAGCCGACATCCGTCCTCTCCCCTGCTGTACTAGCACAATGGACAATGGTGGTGAGTGAGCAGGGCTGTATCAGCTGCCGCGAGAGCGATTAATCAAAATATAAGAGATATTAGGAACATATAGTACTGCTAATCTCTGCGTAGAAAATCTGTTTAGATTTATACTATTAAGATTTTTATGTTTAGATTTATAATGCTGGAACGTGTCTTTTTCAACCAAAAGAAATTTATATTTATTGTTCAACCAGGTTTTTTATATATATTTTAAGAAGTAGTAACACTCAGCAGGTACGTTCACGATGCTGAAGCGTATCAGAAAATCAATGGGCGAGACGACAGCGAGAGTAGGGGCGACGTGTTTGTGATTAGGCCCCTGCAACTGAACTACTCGTTCTGAAAAGAATTCAATCCTACCAACAAACCTCGACAAATTATTTTGGGACGACGTGTTTGTGATTAGGTCCCTGCAACTCAACTAGGGAAGGCAACGGGTCGGGTCGGGCATGGGTAGAGCAAAACCATGCTCGAACCCATGCCCGTCGTTGCCCGCCCAAACCCTACCCACTAAGGTTAGTGGGCAAAACTCTATACCCGTACCCATGCCCGACGGGCATGGATATACCTGGCGGGTACCCAATGGATCTCACATGAATAATAACTCGAAAGATATATAATTTAACAAAGAGAAATAAAATCAACAATTTACCAAATTATTAGTTATCAACAATAATTTGAATTACATCACAACTTATTATTAGTTAGTATCACAAATGAACCAAGAGAAATGGGTATAAGAATTAAGAGATAAGTCGAAATTAGCTAATACATATGTATCGGGTCGGGCATGGGTTACCCACAAGCAAAAATGAAACCTGGCTGTTGCCCACATGTCTACGGGTTTCGGGCGGGCGTGCCCATGGGTAAAAAATCACACCTACGCCCAGGGGCAGAGCCAAGATCATGTCAAGAGTAGGGCTTAATCACTATAGTATGAACTTCTTGAACGAATTTTAATAGGAAAATTAGCAAATTCCTTGGTATTTTTTCTATCAGGTGTAGGGCCCAGACCCAAGCTGCCCCACACCTGGCTCCACCCCTGCCCACTGGGTCGGTATCCGCGGATACCCGTACCCATGGGCAATTGCCATCCCTAAACTCAACAACTCCTAAACTACTTCGTCCTAAAGAGAATTCAATACTATTAAGTCTCAGAATTTTGTACTATAATGCGAAAGAATGTTTGTGATTGGCGCGCGTGATCGAACAGAATAAAACGTGACGCGCACAAACAAACATGCTTTCGGCCGTAAGTTCAGCGGAAATGGATTCTAATCACTTATTTACTTTTTTCAATTAAACTTAACACAAATGGTTGTGAAACTCTTTTTCTTTATAATGTAGAGTCTATATATAGCGACATCTATCGCTTAAAAAAAGTTAAACCACCTCGAAAAAAAAAGTTAAACCAAACTCATTCCAAAGAAACATAAAAGATAATCCAGATGTAAATACTATCTGTACTGTTTCATACTCTGATTTCTGGATGTGTGGGTCAAGTCTAAACTTTAGATTTTATAAAGTGATATACGTACTGTGTCGTATGAATATTGTCAATTTATTGAGTTTTTTCAAACTATTTAGATGGTATTTAAACAAATGGGCTAGGGGACATTCCATCAAAAGATTAAGATAGTTTCCTATCATTGAGAACATCTCTGCAAAAGCTTAGCGCAGTTTTCCACCGTTTAATTGCGAGGTTGGGCTTGAGCTTATTGGAGCATTGAAAACATGACGGGTCATTAACACAGTAGTAATCAACTAGATGATTCCCCGCGCTTTACTACGGAAATTACTAAGTAATTTTCAATATATATTTTCTTGTTACAATCAAGCTAGGGGTAAAAAGAAAATACATGAAATAACAGAGCTTATTAATATTTATCTTGAAACAAACAAATAAAACCCGCTTTAATATGGAACATATTGATAAGTTAATTTAATTTAAATATTATAAAAATGATAGATAGATTTATAAAAATGTTGTGGAAATGATGTAAGGGAGTGATAATTGGATATGTTTGCATGACGTTGATTCGTATAATTAAATAAATTGTACCTGATGTTGCATGCTTGTATGAGGTTGAATATATAATTATTGCTAGTGGGTGATGATATGGCATGTTTGTATGTTAAGCTTTAGAGTTAGTGGGTTACTATACAGTATATATTAACTATCAACTATTGTAAACTTGAAAAAATAGATTTTTTTTAAAAAAAACTTTTATACTTCCTCCATTTCAGGTTATAAGACATGTTGACTTTGGTCAAAGTCAAATTACTTTAACTTTGACCAAATTTGTAGAGAAAAGTAGTAACATTTTTAACCTAAGACAAATTTATTATGAAAATATATTCAATTATCGATTTGATGAAACTAGTTTAATATTATAAATTTAAAACAGTTTGACTTTGACCAAAGTCAAAACGTATTATAAATTTGAAACTAGTACTATATTTGTCTATAAACTTAGTTAAATTTAAAACAGTTTAACTTTGACCAAAGTCAAAACGTATTATAACCTAAAACGGAAGGAGTACTTCTTACATTTTTACGAAACACATCATTTAGCACTGTTCATTAAACATGCTCTCTCTCTCTCTCTCGTCCATATGGCAGCGAAAATTACTACTCCCTCCGTTCCATTTAAGTGCAACCATGATTTTCCGTGCCAAACTTTGAACGCACGTCTTTTTTGAAAAAAAAATAAAAAAAATAAGTCACGTATAAAGTACTATTTATATTTTATCATCTCATAACAATAAAAATACTAATTATAAATTTTTTTTGAATAAGACGGACTGTCAAAGTTGGGTACAGAAACTCATAGTTGCACTTAAAATGAGGAGTAGGAAGTATAATTAATCGAATGTATCTGTCATCCCAATAACTCAAGTAATTGTGACTTGAAACCTTGCATGTGTGCAGATCGGAGCAAGGAGACCGAGACCTGCACCGCGCGGCCGTCCTTGGCGCGCACCAGCGCCACCTGTCCGTCGTGGTTCATCCTGATCGGCTCCGTCCGCCTCGGCTTCCCCCAACCAAAGTCGCCGACGTCGTACGGCCGGAACGCCGGCGAGCCAGACACGTTCATCGCCCTCTCCGTGACGGGGACCAGCGTCTCCATCAGCCTCAAGAAATCCCACCCGGCGAGCGGGTCTTCGGCCACCTTGGCGATCTCCTCCTGGATCGCCGACGCCGCGGCCGCCAGCGCGCCGTCGCCGTGGATGTCGCGCACCGGGAGCCTCGCGACGCGCACGGTCAGGCAACTGCCGAAGTATCCCGCGCCGACGGGAGGGTCGAGGCGCTCGCGGACGTCGGCGATGAACACAAGGAACACTTCTCCGTCGTCCGCGGCGGTGGTCTTGCATCGGGCGAAGCACGTCCATGCCGTCGCGACGACGGCGACGAAGGTGGACGGAGGCCGACGCAGTGGCGCGCCGCGGGCTTCACCGTCGCGGGCGATGCGCTGCTTGAGGCGCTCGATTTGCTGCGCGTCCACGGTGAACGTCCGGCGGGTGAACCGATTCCGTTGTTCGACGAAAATTTCCAGCTCGGCTACCTGAGACGACGCAAATGGTGGTCGACGTGTTCTTAAATCTTAAGCTACCTTGTGCGCTGCTAATTGACCGGGGAAAATATGGCGCGAAGATAGCATACCTGAGGCAATTTAGGCGCGTACTTCCGCAAGACGGTCCGGGCAATCTCCTCGCCAAGGTGCAGCTTGATAGCGGAGCGGTCGAAGCACGGTGTCGCGACCGGCGTCGCCTCGCCGCGGCACGCCGCCGCCCACGCCTCCAGGAACATCCAGAGAGACTTCCCATCGGCGACGCCGTGATGCACCGTGACGCCGACCGCCAGCCCTCCCTCCAGGCGCGTGGCCTGCACGGCCAGCACCGACGTCGGCAGCTTGCCCATGTCGAGCTCCGGCACAAGCTTCTGAAACGTCGCCAGGTCGTGCAGCTCGTCTCCGGCGAGGCGGCGGACGTCGGCGTCGGATTCCGCAGCGACGAACTTGACCGCGTCCGACGCGGAGCAGGCGATGGCGACGTCGCCGGTGCCCTCGAGGTAGACGAGCTTGCCGGCGAGCGGCGCGAAGCTCGCCAGCGTGGCGCCGAGGGAGGACCGGAGGGACCGGACGACGCTGTCGAACGGCGGCGAGCCGGCGACCTCGTAGAACAGGACGTGTTGAAGCACGGGGAAAGGGAGCCACAGTGCTTCCATCGCCGTGAGCTTGATCGGCTCCGGCGGCAGCGCGGCAGTCGCCGGCACAGCGACATAGCTGACGTCGACGATGCTCACTGCAGACATGAGGCTTTGGACTCTGCACTACGCAGGCGCTGGTTTATCGCACACTACTAGAAAAAGGCATTTTCCCCGATGTGGGTTTTATTTTTCCAGTCACATGACTCTTTGAGCCAAATAATCACCTAAAAAATATAAATCGAGGTGAACTGCAAATCACTTAAGTGGCGCCTGCGATGTGGTCCGCCTACCTACTAAAATAATCTAATCATCCTTATCCTCTCCTCTCCACCACTCATTTCCCTCCCCCTCCTCTCTCTCACACACACTTAGAAAAACTCGTCGGCTCCCTCCTCTCTCACATCCGCGCGCCGCCGGCTCCCTCCTCGACGCCGACGACGACCACGACGCCGCCGGCTCCCTCCGCCGACGGCTCCCTCCTCTCCCACGTCCGCGCACCGCCGGCTCCCTCCGCCGCCGGCCACGACGACGACGACGACCGCGACGCCGCCGGCTCGCTCCTCGCCGACGGCTCCCTCCTCTCCCACGTCCGCGCGCCGCCGGCTCCCTCCGCCGCCGGCCACGACGAGCGACGATGACGGCACTCCAGATCCGCGCGCCGCCGGCTTCCTCCTCGCCGCCTGCGCCAGCCGCTTCCCCTCCTCGCTCCCTCCGCCGCCGGCCACGACGAGCGACGACGACGGCTCTCCAGATCCGCGCGCCGCCGTCTTCCCTCCTCGCCCCCTCCGCCGCCGGCCACGACGAACGACGACGACGGCTCGCCTCCTCCACCGTCGGCTTTCCTCCTCGCTACCTCCGCCACTGGCCACGACGGGCGACGACGACGGCTCGCATCCGGCTGCCGGCTCTCCTCATCGACGCGACGACGACGACGATGGCGGCGCCAACGGCAACGGACGGAGGGGAGCCCAAGCCGGCAGCGCTCGTGGTGAGGCTGGCGGCGGTGCCCCGTGGTTTTTTTTAATTTTTCTGAGATTATTTTCGCAGGCGGGCCAAGGAGGCGACTGCAAAAATGTTCTATTTTCACATGCGAGATGGTAGCAGCGATCCTCTCTCCCGCCTGCGACACTTCCGCTGTTTTTTGCGTGTAAACACAGCAGCAACTGGAGCCACGGAGGAGCAGCTAGCAGCCGGCAATAATTAGCCATACGTGAATCGTTGGCTAATTGCGGAATTAAATATTAATGCGAGCGTTACTAGCTCCGTGCAAGGGGTGTCCTTGTCGAAGGCGAAATGTAGGAAAATGGCATCTGTCGGCACCAAATCACGTGTCTACACGTTGAACACGTTATGTGCAATCTCACGGTAGTACCCTGAGATATGCTACCGTAAGAAGTTGTAAGATAATATCGAACCAACAAACGGAAAAGCCCTATTAGAGGGAACGCGATGCTGGTTTGTCCTAGACTCGACAAATCAGCTAGGACGTCATTTAACGCCGTAGAGACCTAGAGACCAGAGATGATAAAGCAATTTAGAATTGAAGGAGAATAGATGTTGTCATAGATAGGAAGGAGAAGGAAGGTGTGGAATATAGAGGCTATGGTAATAAATTGATTTTGACGATTGATTGGTTGTTCTTTTAGTCGGTCGTGATCCCCTTATATTTATAAAAATGCGGACTTGTTTCCTAGGATTTTTCCCATGTCCAATTGGGTGTAAAAAACTAATTATAGTCTAAAATCTCGTCTAAGTAAGGAAATCCAAGAAATCTCTAAATTGGTTTCTGACTATTTGTTGATGGTCAGGCCGTCCGGATGCTTGTGGTTTGACAGCAGTTCATCGTTCAGTCTGACCGATCAGTCAGACCAGTCTTTGGAGGGAAAGTCTCGGTATTACATGTTTGAAAGAAAACACTGGTGACTGTATATTAGAGTTATAAAAGATATAGTAGTAGAGTACTCTCTACTCAGCTCAGCTACTGCTACCGCCGGTCGAGCGGCTATACCATGAAGCATGAACGCAGATTGTCGGAGACTGGAGACATGCGCAGTTCTCCAAGCACGGGTGGCACTCTGGCTCGTCTCGTCCCATTTTGGGCCCTAGAGCAAACTTGGGCGCGTGTTCTTCGGCCTGGAAAAGTAGGCCCACGAAAGCGAGTAGTCCCAGCAAGCCGACGGAGGTCCTGCTCGGGGAAGTTATGATAAGCAGCCGCTGACAATCTGGAGGTGCTGGAGAACCCATCATTTGATTTCTAATTTATTTTCTGGGTTCTACGACTAAAACTCTTTAAAATCTAAGTGAAAATCTAGACTGTTTGATAGATCTTCTATCAGCCAGAGATTCTAAGAGAAGCTGCAGCTGACAGAAGCTCCTCCAAATAGACAAAAAAATTAAGTTGCCGTGGCTCTAATGCAATCTGGGCTAAACATATGTGTTGAACCTTATCCGGTTAGAAAAACGAAGGGATTAAAATAAAAAAACACCACCAGACAAGTTCGTGTACCATAATAATTACTCTACAAATTTGTATACTGAATCACACCCACCTTATGAGTTTGTTTACCACCAATACAATTTACTTTATATTTAAAAACCAAAAACGAAGGTAATCCGTTCGTTCTAATTCTGCGTGTTTTTTAAATTGTATCTAGATATCTTTTTGAGAAAACATGCACACTCACTCCTATAAATATACACATATATATTTAAAAATCATATATCTAGATATATTATTTGAAAAACGGGAAATTTAACTATTTGCCACTCTTGTGATATGGCAATTAACGATTTGCCACACCGTGTCTATAACGTGTGGGCCTAGTGGCAAATCGTTAAGCACCACTCGTAAGAGTGGCAAATAGTTAAAAGCCCCTTGAAAAACTGTACTACTTATATTTTGGATGGAATAGGATAGTACTTGATTTCTACAGCTTAAAATTTTCAGATATTTAACTACTTAATTTTTTTTAGATATTTAACTATCTCCCACTTTTAGATGTGGTGTTTAATACTTTTTTCCAGTAAAATGCCCTATTTTTTCATCGCTGTAGTTTGTCGCATGTACCATCTGTCTGTCTGATCACTTTAACTCGAGCAGGCGCATTTGTGACTTGAAAGCCTCCATGTGTGCCGATTGGAGCAAGGAGACCGAGACCTGCACCCCATGGCCGTCGGCGGCGCGCACGAGCGCCACCTGCCCGTCGTGGTTCATCCTGATCGGCTCCGTCCGCCTCGGCTTCCCCCACCCGAAGTCGCCGACGTCGTACGGGCGGAATCCCGGCGAGCCGGACACGTTCATCACCCTGTCCGAGGGGATCTTGCCCGCCAGGCTCATGAAATTCCACCCGGCGAGCGGGTCCTCCGCCAACTCGAGGATCTCTTCCTGTATCGCCGACGCGGCGGCCGCCAGTGCCCCGTCGCCGTGGACGTCGCGCGCCGGGAGTCTCGCGAGACACCCTGTCAAACAAGCGCCGAAGTAGTATCCCGCGTCGACGGGTGGGTCGTCGAGGCGCTCGCGGACGTCGGCGAAGAAGAAAAGGAACACGTCGCCGCCGGCGTCCTCGTCCGCGGCGGTGGTCTTGCATCGGGCGAAGAATGCCGAGGCCATCGCGACGACGGCGACGAAGCTGGATGGAGGCCGATGCAGGGTTTTGCCGTGGACTTCGCCGTCGCGGGTGATGCGCGCTGCTTTAGGCGTTCGAGTTGCTGCGCGTCCACGGTGAATGTCCGGCGGGTGAAACGCTTGCGTTCCTCTACAAGCAAGTCCAGCTCGGACACCTGCGACGCCATTGCACGTGTTCTTAATTTTAAGCTAACCAATGCATTATGACTTTCCCATCGAAAAGAAAAAAAAAGTGAGCAACCTCCACCACGAAAGGGTTACTTGCATGTCACTTAAATGGTTATAATATATATATATATATATATATATATATATATATATATATATATATATATATATATATATATATTAATATGTAATATATCACTCCATAAATATACAAGCTCAAATTCAACTTCTACAACTTACCAAAAAACAAATTTAACCAAATAATCAAGTTTAACTTGTTTTTTCGTTGCAAGATATAGAAGTTGAATTTAACCTTGTATTTTTGTGAAGTGATATATCACATATTAATACATCTTCTTAATTATTTTTGTGAAGTGATATATCACATATTAATACATCTTCTTAATTTTTTTTATAACTACTTAAGTGCCATGCAAACAACAAGATATCAACTTCTACATCTAAAAAAAACAAATTTGACTATAAATATATATCAACTAGTTATAGTTTAATTGGTTTTTTTTTCGAGATGTAAAAGTTAAATTTGATCTTGTATATTTGTGGAGTGATATATCACATGTTTATATATATCTTTTTTAAAAAAATTCAACTATTTAAGTGACAAGAACGTTACCTCGAGATCAAAATAATTTCCGGCATGAAGTAACATACCTCAGGCAAGTTTGGCGCGTACTTACGCAACACGCTCCTGGCGATCTCCTCACCACCTGGCCACTTGATAACCGAGCGGTCGAAGCACGGTGTCGCGGCCGGCGCCTCGCCCCGGCACCGGCATGCCGACGCCCACGCCTCCACGAACGTCCAGAACGACTTCCCATCGGCGACGCCGTGGTGCAACGTCACGCCGACCGCGAGGCCTCCCTGGAGACGCGTGGCCTGCACGGCCAGCACCGACGTCGGCAGCTTGCTCATGTCGAGCTCCGGCACAAGCTGCTCGAACGTCCGCAGGTCGTGCGCCTCGTCGCCCGCGACGCGGCGGACGTCGGCGTCGCACTCCGCCTCCACGAACCTCACCGCGTCCGAGGCCGAGCAGGCAATGGCGACGTCGCCGGTGTCCTCGAGGTGGACGAGCTTGCCGGCGAGAGGGGCGAAGGTCGCCAGCGTCGCGCCGAGGGATGACCGGAGCGAATCGACGACGCTGTCGAACGGCGTCAAGCCGGCGGCCTCGTAGAACAGGACGTGCTGCAGCACCGGGAAAGGGAGCCACAGCGCTTCCATCGCCGTGAGTTTGATTGGCTCCGGCGGCAGCGCGGCCGTCGCCGGCACAGCGACGTAGCTGACGTCGACAATATTCACTGCTGACATCAGTGACATGAGGCCTTTGGCTGAGCAAACGGTGAGCTTTGATGCGTTGGCTTGTGAATCCTGGAAACACAGTGGCTACTGGACAGTGCGACGAATCCTAGGTTCGTCTCCGAATTAATCGTGGAGCACAGGTTTATCTGTGGCGAGAATGCGGTTGCGTGTGTGATATTTCTTCGAATCCTGATTAGTGCACGTGTGCTTAAACTGCCCATCGGTGGCGGGATGATAGATACTCCCTCACACTCAAAATGTAAGCATTTTAGCTATAAATCTGAACAATTTTGTTTAGAATCATAGTCAAAAGTTATTGTATTTTGAGACAGAGGTAGTAATGCTTTAGACTTTCGGACCTTTTGGGTACAGATGAAATTATCTAGACGGGGACTTGTAAACAGTGGAAACAATTGGAATCGCTAACATCTTTTCGAAAACGATGGTCGACCGATCAATAACTGTACATATTTATCAATTCAACTATTTAGTATTGACATCATAAAAAAAAATAATAGTACAAAACGATATATCATTCCAACGAGATAACTGACATACGGGTATCATTAGAGAACGAGGTTGTAGCCCGGTGGTAGGGAGCTACCGGATTGAGATCCGGTGCAGTTGATATTACTACCGCAACTTTAGCTGTCGTTGTACGTTTTGATCGTTGGATTGATGAAGTGAAAGGCTCAGATCTGCTTGCAACCCTGTTGCACCTCTGACGCTACAGCAATCGCTACAGTAAAGATTCCCCTACAGTAATTTGTGAACAGTATTTTGCAGCTATCTGAGCCGTTGGTTTTTGATCCATCCACCGAACCGCAACTGCTAAAGTTGCAGTTGTTACTGCGACCGCACCGGATCTCGATCCGGAGCTACCAGGTGCTCTCGTTGGCCCACGTTCTAGTCCCCTCGACGCTGGGTTTTCTCATTATTTCTTCTCTCTTAATAATTGATGCTAAGTTTCTTCTTAGCATCTTTTTTTCCTTTTAAAAACGGGTATCACTAATGTCAAATCATAATATCAGTATAGGTAACAGATCTGGTCTAGTACCTATGGTGTATCATGTTTAGTACCAGAAATATCAGATCCGGTACCCATGATATCATGCTAATATTATAACTATTTCGTTGGAAGTTCTGCAGTATCTCTCGAAATGAAATTAGAAAATCCGAGTAAAACCGCGACGAGTGGCAGGCGGGTGCTTGACTAGCATAGAGGTGAACCGCGTTGCGAATCGTCCAAATCCGGGCCGTACCGAAACATCCAAGGTGGCCCATATTGGCGGCCCGTTTAGCTCACGAGCTGGCCTGATTCGTTGTTCTCCTCGTGTGCTGTCGAGGAAGGGATCACTCCCGGCGATGCAGTCCATGTCAATATGTCATGAACTTGAGATCCCCTTCTCTCTCTTCGCTGAATTCCTCTCCATCACTCCAGTCCTCCTAGGCACAGCACTGTGCAGTTTGGAGATTTATGACCTTGTACGTTCGTCAGGATTGTAATCACTATGTTGAAGTATTAATCCGCGCTCTCTGTCGTAAAAGAAATACTTCTACTAGAAAGTGTGTGCATCGATTATCGAACACACCACAAAATCGGTGTGCCGTACGTGTGCGCCATCGAAACGTACGAGGTTTTGACATCTCAGTTGTCAGCGACACAACACGGTTGACTTCGGACGGCGTGCAAGGTCGTCCACTCCACTTCGTGTCCGCCGCGCTATTTATCCAGACGATCGATTGGTATCTTTCTCAGCGGCCGCGAAATGAGTGACTTCTCACTGGATGGCTACAGCGACGGCGGCGACGCCTATGTCGCTGAGCCAGCCTCGCCCATCCGTTCCAGTGCAAATCGGCCTCGTCGTCCGAGCGCCAGCCGCGACGAGGTTCCCCGCTACGTCCTTCGCGTCATCCGCACCGCAGCCGCCGCCTCCGCCTCGCTGCCTCCCGTCCCAGGCTACAGCCCCAGGATGTCCATCGACATGGCGTGCACGCACAGCTGGGCGCCCTACACGGCCGTAATCCCGGCCCTCCGCTCCCTCTCCTTCCTGTCTCTCCGGGACGAACACTCTCCCGGCGTGGCGAAGAAGACGATCGCCGAGCTCTACGGCCACGCCACGCCGTTCGACGCCGCCGGCCGCCGGTTCCCCGCCGGCGAGGTGTACGTCTGCCTGGATCGCGCCCCGCTCGCCAGCTACATCCAGAGCATCCAGAGGAACGTGACGGTGTCGGATGTGTCGTACGGGGACAAGACCAAAGCGTGCGACAGCTACCTGAGCGCCGTCAGCTCCGCCATCGACGAGCTCACGCGCGACGACCACTACACTCCAGTGTCCAGTGCTGTATGACCGCGAGGTGTTTGAGTCGGTGTTCCAGCTCACCTGGATCGAGCCATGATGCCGGTGTTCGAGTCGGTGTTCCTGCACCTTTTCGATTTCATCTGTTTCGTGTCAGCGAAGTTTGCATGTACCATGTTGTAGGTTGTGGCGATGGGGGAATTTGTTCCCTAGTAGCACCGCAACATTTGTTTGTTGTTACTGTTTTATAAACTTCTCAATCTCATTATAAAGCTGGTCGGCGGTCTTCGCTGGTCCGGCGAATTGGCTAAGCATTCGACTCCATAGATTCCGAGTCGTATAGTTGTTGGAATATTTTGATTCTGGTTTCTGTGATCCTGTCCTTGGTAGCACATTGGCTCGACTGTTTGGTTTTTGACAGTAAACAAAACAGTACCCTGCAGGTTTTCAACTGCTCTGTGAGACTCTGAGTCTGGTGACTTATGGCTCTTATCCGTGACGGTAGCACACCAAGTCGATCGTTTGGTTTCTGACTGTAAACAAAGTCGAAGCCCGTAGGTTCTCAGGCTCTCAGCTGTGTGGCTGCCCAATCCAGTATTCCAGTGGCGCGGAACAAAAATTTTCCGCAGCGTCATCCCGCGTCGCAGCGGCCCAGGCACCCGGCCGGGCGGCGACAGATGCCACACGCTGGTGAGGCCGGAGACTTGGTGGCACGCTCCTCGCGATCGCGTCCCGGCTCCCGGGCCTTACATCTCTTGACGTGAAGGCTGGAAATTTCGGCCTATTATGGTTGTTAGGCCAGGTCCAAAATCGTATCCGCGAAAAAAAAAAGAGCAATTTTATGGTACTTAAAGAGATACCATGAAATTTAGTGTAAAATTTTAATAACTAGTACTGTAAAGTAACATGAGGTACCAAATTTATAAAAAAAAAGTGGTACCTCATGGTACCTCCTCAATTACCGTAAAATTGCTTAAAAAAAAAAGGCTTCCGATCCCCTGCAGCATAATCTCTCCGACTGGGGCCACTTCTTGATTGATACTGAGTATAGCCCATAATAATCTCATTGCATATTTGCATGCGGGAGACGAACGTCTCCCCGTCGTGGCGGCGGCGGGCGGCCTGCATGCCGATCTGGGAAGCATTCGCAGGTTAGGCAGCCGCAGGAGCCATGACTTCCCGTACGGCAAACGGTCGCGGAGTCGCGGTGGTGGCCAGGTGAGTTTAATTCTCTGTGCAAGTGCAACGGGAAGTATGGATCGAACGGATCGTCCTCCAGTTTTGAATAGTTCAGGGCTGCGCCTTCGTATGCCGGTCAACCTGAGTGCACGGGGAAGAGAATTGGTGTTGTTTGTCCTATCCAATCTCGATCTGTGCCAAAAAGATTACTCCCTCCCTCCGTATCAAAATATTTGGCACCGTTGACTTTTTACTTGATCATTCGTCTTATTTAAAAAATTTAAGTAATTATTTGTTCTTTTCATATCATTTGATTCATTGTTAAATATACTTTCATGTACATATATAGTTTTACATATTTCACAATTTTTTTTAATAAGACGAACGGTTAAACACGTGCTAAAAAGTCAACGATGTCGAACATTTTGGAACGGAGAGAGTAGTATAAGTTAACCTCGGTTTGGTTGCTGCATTTCGTTGCTATCTTGGAAAATGAGTTTCGAAAAAATACGGAGTACTCTACCATATAGAAAGTGGATCGTTATGGACTGGGATTTTCTTTAGCAATTCCACAAACTAATTAAACCCATCGCGCGGTGTTATTGCTAGATGCTAGAGCGGCGTGAGTATGCAAGCTGCAGCACTGCATTTCGATCTATCCATGATACCATGACACAAATTCAGACATCATCACTTTTAGCTTCTTTCTTCCTGGCGTATCTGCACCGCGACCAATTCAATTCCGTGAACAACTTAGCATCACCCATTAGCAATATACTTGAGAGTTGAAAGTTGAGAGATGAGACACAGACTGAACACTAGTTAACTGGCAAGATGAACACATAAGATATACAGAAAAGACTTAATTAAACACTCGAACAAGTTTTCACTGAAAGTTCAGATCCTCAAAAGTCCACGTAAACTAGTAGAACTTGTTCGGCCACATTTTTATACAAGCACGCCGCTTAGAACAAGTAGACACAGCTCAACTGAAGACTGAAGACGACGATCGAAGCAGGCTGCCTAGTGATGGTGTCCTCCATTGCCGCCGCTCCCTTCTCTCGGATTGCCCGGCGGCTTCGGCCTTAGCCGCGCTGCCCGCACCCGAGTGGTCGCCTCCTGCATGTAGAAATACTACACCAATTTCATCTCATATGTTAGAATTAACTGAACTATTACGAAATGCTTTGCAGAAACTGCAGAGCAATCTACTTACACTGCTCTTCATGTCCTCTTCTCCTTCTTGAGACGGGTCGGCAGCTGCAGGTTCAGGTTCAGGGACAAGAACAGAGCTTGCCTTTGGGTCGCAGAAAGAATCGCTGAGGCCGAGGCAGCAGGCGCAGACCCGGGCTATGTACTGCAGCAGCGAGCAAGGGTGCGCGAAGAATGACGGCGCCGCCGCCGCCGCCGCTGCCGCTGGCGTGGCCTCCTCACAGCCCTCCTTTTCTTCTTCTTCCTCCTCCTTGCGCTGGTCCACCGACGATGATTCTTCAGAGTTGTCCTGCTCCTTATCTTCGTTGTCTTCGCACCGATCCGATGCTGGTTCTTGGAATCGGTTCCCCTCCTTTTCCTCGACCCGATCCATTGCCGCTCTAGATGCTCGTAGCTTCTGGAGACAGCGGCGTCGTCTCGGCGAGAGAGCTACTGTTTCGCTTTCGTTTCAACTTTTTTTTTTCTCTGAACTCTTTCTTTCGTGAGTATTTATTTACTCCTCTCTGTGACTCTGCGGCCGATTCATTCGGAAATGAGCCGTATTTATTGCCGTGGAGCTGGAACAGATCGAGGATGAAAATGTTGCCAAGAATGCCCCCAATTTGACGCGATTGATCCTGCTGGGAAAATTACTATTTGGACACAGTATTTTCGTTGATGAAGAATGTGATAAAAGAATAAAACGGCGTATCTGCAGGATAGTAATATGAGATAGGAGCGTCATTTTCGTAGAATCAGTGTTAGGTTGCTGAATGCTACACTGCTGAATATTGGGGGCGTTTTCATCTATTATATCAAAAGAAACAAATATAAAAACCAAACTTACTAGAGAAATTGAGAAAGGCTGAATGATAAAAACACAAAAACCATTATATTAATAAAAGAAATCTTTGACCTAATGAAGTTAGGACCATACAATGTAGATGCCGGTCCGTCCAATCTAGTGCCCTCGGTCCGTCCGACGTTTATCGCCGGATTATATGCTTGTGCCGCCGCCGCACCGCCGAAAAAAAAAACACAATGTGTATCGAACGCAATCCTCTCTCTCAACCCACAAACTAGAATCGAAATTTCAAAGTAAACCCTATCTTTTCTCTCTTCGTGTTCTACTTAATTGCTCTGAGTCTCAACCTCACACCTATTTATACATAAAACCCTCCCATATAAAGTAGTAGTAGAACTTCTAATTCCAGTTAACTCTATCCCTCAATTTCCAAAATCCATTACATTTTCCAAAATTAAATTCTTTCTGCAAAGCTGGAAACCAACACAACCGTTTCGGACTCGCTCTGCTGCGCTCGCTCCTGACCAGCTTCCTGGCCGAGCCGAGCTTGCCTGTTGCCTCGCTTGCGAACGGCCAGCAGCCGCTCCCGTTGCATAGGCCCAGCTAGCCAAGCCACCGAACCAAGGGCCTGTTTAGATTGGTGCTAGACCATATCAATATTTGGTAAATTCATAAATATATAGTTGTATTTAATTTATATTACTAAATATTGGTAACATATAAATTATGATAGAGCATATTTATTCCGTCCAATCAAAATTTGGCAATTATGCTAACTTGCCAAAAAGTTAACATTACCAAATTTCGATGAGGTTGGTTTTGGCAGTAATCTAAACATACCCCCAAATCAACTAGTTGTACCGCACGCCCATGCATGCACACCAAGCTACTGTAGCAGTGCAGCACCGCACATCTCTTAGCTTTCTCCTATTTTTCTCAACCAATTTCTCCACGACTTCTCCGGCGCTTGCACATCTACATGTGAAGCCCATCACAAACAACTTTTTCACGCGATGACTATTCACCATGTATCATCAAATAGATCTCAACTTTTCTCTAAATCTAGTTTCGATCCCACTATTGATCGAAGTTGACCTTTAATTATCTTAAATCTAGTCTAATTTTATCACATAGTATCCTGGCCGTGTCAAACCTCAGCTTCTCTCTGAGCTTTAGTTCTGAGCTTTAGTCTCGGTCCTCATCACTATTGACCAAGATTGATCTCAAGTCACCTAAACATAATCAAACAAAACTAATTTTTTTAGAGAAACCGATATCATTATATTACCGAACCAGCTTAAATTTTCTAGATACATATATCACAACTTGACCCATATTAGTCACATGCACTCACACCAACATCCAATATATTTTCAAATCAATTTCATTAAATATATCATTTACAAAGCATATCTGCATATCTGCAAGCAGATTACTCATCAGTTGTTGTGGTTTTTGAAGAAGGTACAAGAGCCAGTAATATCTGCCACTTAGCTATATATATGCTATTATCAGTAAAAGCTAGGGTTAGCCTTGTAACTAACCAGCAATTGAGCAATGAAACCTTTGCCGGTGCAGCTGGAAGGCACACCTGCTACTGCAACGCGAAAACTGAACAGGAATGTTGATGCGGACGAATACAGGAGCAGTTAATAACATGCACAGCGTCTCTGTGCCTGACTGCCTGGTCGCACCAAAGCAGCTGCGAGGCATTCAAGGATATCTATGAATCTATCTCCCCAGCTCACCTACCAGCCGGATTCCATTTCAGCTGGCCGGCAATAACCCACGTCACGGACGATCTCGTTCTCTTCTTTTTGAACGAAGACGATCCCGTCTTCTTCAGACATCTACCAACCGGTAATTAATTTCCTCTTGTTTTTACAGAGTTGGGTGAGGTGATCAAATCATGAATGAAAATTTTGTAATGGTTGTTTCTATAACCTTTCTAGAATTCTAGTCTAGTCTGGCCTATATACTGCTTTTCAGAACATTTCAGACATCGGCATAATCTTTAAAATCATCTCCCAAATTCTATATTTTTAAAATGATACAGTATTATGAAATTTTTTTTGTCAATCTACCCCTACAATTTTCATACATCCTTTTTTTTTTTGAAGATTGACGTTTTTTTATATTAAAAAGCATATCTAAAACGTTATGTTTTCATGACCGGCCGGAGCACTTAATTTTCTTCTCGATTGGAACATTCCTACAGGAAAACTGCAGCGCACATGCATGCTCATCAAGAAAATCTAATAGTTTCATTGAGAAAAAGAATTAAACGAAAGCTATAATGGCCCGTGTACAGCTCGTTGTCATCGCTATCGCCACCGACGATCGATGATCTCTTCCATGGATTCATTTGGAAAAACGTCGAAGGTGATAGCGGTATGTACCATGTAGACTAACGTGAACTGGAGGTATGATGAACGACTTTGCCTCTTTGCCCGGAGGGAACTGGCGAGTGATGACCTACTTAATTATGCGGTCTCAGGCTCTCCTCTGGTTGTTACCCAGATCGGTCAGCATCTCCTCTTAATTATTGTTTAACGAACACTGCTGGGATTCTGTAATCTAATGTAATGTTCTTATCCTTCCGAGCAGATAGTTTGTCCGGGTTTACTTGTCGAGTTCCCTGGCTGAGGAATCTGGAGTACAGGTCTACAAGATCGATGTAAGCATGCTAGCTACCTGAAATCGATTTTCTGATCGAGAATGTTGTCAGCAAATTATCTAGTTGTTGCCCTGATAATTGATAGGTGAGAGAAATGCATCGTTACATTTAGAAGCAGCTAAAGAAGGCTACAATAATGTCTAACAAGCGCGAACGAAGACATGGATGATCAGCGGGAACAAAACCATGGCCATTTGCGAAATTAGTAGTTCATGCAAAACGAAGACATGATCAAGTTTTTTTCAACAACTCGAAACGGTACTTGTTATCCATTATTAGCATGTAGTAGTATGTTTTATTTTAAAAAAAACTTATATAAAAGTATTTTTTGGGAAATCTTTAGATTTATAATAGTTCATACTATATAAGTAATTACTTCTTTTCTAATATATTAGAATCTATGATTGGATAGGATATTTTAGCACTACAAATCTAAACAGACGCCTATCCAGATTCGTAGTATTAGAAAATGTTCTATCCGATTTTTATATCTTACGACGGAGAGAGTAGTATATGCTAATGATTTTTCCTTTTTCAATCCGAGAACAGCTCCAGCCGAAAGCCCGAAACTACACATTAGAAACTGGGACTAATATTAGGCCATGTTTAGTTCACACACAGAAATTTTACACCCTGTCATATTGAACGTTTGAACACTTGCATAAAGTATTAAATATAGACTTAAAAATAATTAATTACACATATTGCGACTAATTTATGAGACAAATCTTTTAAGCCTAATTACTCCATGATTTGATAATATGACGCTACAGTAAACATTGCTAATTACGGATTAATTAGGCTTGATAAATTCTTCTCGCTGTTTACTGACGGATTCTGTAATTGGTTTTTTTTATTAATGTCCGAACACCTCATACAACGTGACGCGTCAAAACTATACACCCTTATATCTAAACACCCCCTTAACTCGGAAGACCCTACCACGAATACGACCTCTCAAATCTTTTTCCCTATTAATTCAAGCTCATCACTGATTTGATAAGACATTAAGATAGCACTGCAGCTGCACCAGAGACAGTACTAACCTCGTCCTGTCCTGCCAAAGTCACGAATTAATAATGATCACGTTGCCCTCTGCAAACTGCAATTTGAAGCAAATTAAAGATTGTGAAAGTTAGGCCGCCGAATCGCTTATTTCCCTTCGGATTGGGCTGATACAGCGATATCGTTTGGGCTGATACACACGCACGCACGCACGCACACGTACACACACAAACCATGATGGGCTCTAACTCTAAAGCCCATCAGACTCAAGCAGAATGCAGATCTGAACCGCAAAAACAGCAACTCCCACCGCACGCGCGCGCAACTGCCCCGCCGAACCGGTCTCCGTGCCGGCTGTTTTGGCGCCAGTTGCTGCCCGCCAACCACGCCAACCAAACTCGCCAAACTGCCCAAACCAGCCTCGCCTCGCCGCGAGCTCCAGCTTCGCCCGCATCAAAAGCGCCTCTCCCCTCGCCTTCTCCCGATGGGCACGCAGCGCATCACGAAGCCCCCGCGACGATCCATCCATCGATCGCGACGCCGAGGGAGCGAGCAGCGCCGGCGGCAACTCCGGTAGCTCGCTCGCTTCCCCGGCCCGGCCGGAAGATATGGCCGATCACGCCGTGGTGGTGGACGACGGCGGTTCACGAAGGATGAGGCCGGCGTCCCTGTCGTCGTCGTCGGACGCCGAAGACGACGACGCCGGCAGCAAGAAGCAGTTCCTGCGGGCGGCGGGACGAGCGCTGGAGGCGGCGCCGCCCGTGCGGCGGAGGCCGGGGAGGCCGTCGCGGCCGGTGAGGATGTTCCACACCATGTGCCGGTCGCTCCCGGTGCTGACGCCGGGGTGCGGGCGGCTGCAGCCGGCCGGGGCGGCGTGCCGGATCGCGGCGCCGTCGCGGCTGTCCCCTTCCGCCTCCCTGATGTCGAAGCTCGTGGCGTCGGCCTCCACCGGCGCCGCCGGGGCGTCGCGCCGGCGCATGACGGGGACGCTGTTCGGCTACCGCGACGCCCGCATCGCGCTGTCCCTGCAGGACAACCCGCGGTGCCAGCCGACGCTGGTGGTGGAGCTGGCGCTCCCGACGCACGCGCTGCTCCGCGACCTCGGCACCACCGCCGGCGCGCGCATCGTGCTGGAGAGCGAGAAGCGCGCGGCGGACGGCGGCGACGGCGCCGGCGCCGGCGCCAGCTCGAGGCGCGAGCGCGAGCAGCAGGACGGGTGGGTGCTCGAGGAGTCCATGTGGACCATGTCCTGCAACGGCAAGAAGGTGGGGTACGCGGTGCGGCGAGACCCGACCGACGACGACATCGCCGTGCTGGAGACTCTGTGGGCGGTGTCCATGGGCGGCGGCGTGCTCCCCGGGATCTCGGACATGGACGGGAAAGACGGCGAGATGGCGTACATGCGTGGGAGCTTCGAGCACATCATCGGCTCCAGGAACTCGGAGTCGCTCTACATGATCAGCCCGCACGGCGGCGACTGCCCGGAGCTCGCCGTGTTCTTCGTGAGGCTATGAAATTAATACACCACGCGCGTGCATGGCCATCTCTGTTTATTTTTTTAAAATCTCTTGCTACCTCCGGCCACAAATACACATTTGAAAATTTTAAACTGTTAATTAACATCTCACAATGCTAGTATGTAAAAAACGTAAAATGGAATTTACAGGTATGTCATGAAAATCACACGATCACTAGCTAAATTTGAAACATCTTTAACAACTCGAGACACCCGGAAAGATCAGATCAGCCAACAGTCAACACACCAGTACACATGAGGGGATATTACAATAGTCTCCATTTGATAGAAAATCGAAGCCCCTATATTACAGATTCTAGACCATCCAATATACTCCGAGACTCGTACACTCTTCTCTAAAACATACATTTCGGGCCTCGTCAGATGGATGTTTGGGCTGAGACTTTTCAGCTAAAGCCTATTGAATCGCTTATTGGGCTGATGACCACCAGCCACAGAAAATCCTCATCAAGCCAATTAAGCCAATCAATGGTTTTTCTTTAGCTTAAGGGAAAAGTCCAACTTTGTCTGATTAGCCAAAACTCTTGGCTTACCGATGAGGGCCTTCTTCTCCCACCCTGACAAGCTCGTTGATCTCCAACGATGGCAGCAGCAAATCCGAGTTAGGTATCAGGATGAGGTCAAGGTGGAAGGGGGTAGTTCCCCTAACTTATGGGGATGATCGTACGTGTGATGCGCTAGCAAAACTAATGGCGGGGAACTATTGAAAATGAGGAAGACGGCGAGGTAGGAATGCCACCTCGTCATCGTCAGCTTGAGGTGGAGAGAGGCACGGAGGCCTATAGAGGGAGGTCTAATGGGCCTCACTAGCCCCGTTAGTGCCTTCTAGTGCTGGTGAGGTGTAGCGCCCGTTCTGTCGTGGCGCCTAGCGGAAAAATTATCTCTTAAAAACCCTAATTGCAAAATTTGTTTCTTCGCTTGTTGTCTAGTGTCCGTGCCCTCTCAAGATCTCAATCCCCGATCTATCGTCGAGTTCAATTCCGAATCCAAATCCTTCCAAATCAAATCCCTCCGCAAAAGTCTAGTTTGCCTCCCCCGGGGTCGATGGGCCGAATTTCTCTCGGCCCATCTCCCCCTCTCCCCCGGCCCCTCCTTTCCTCTTCCCCGGCGCGCTCTCTCTCCCCCTCTCCCTCCGCTCCGCCGCGCGCCCCGCGCGCGTGCGCGTGAGCCGCCCGCGCCGAGCCGAGCCCTTCTCCCCGCTCCCCCGCTGCCGCTCCCCGCGCGTCGTTCGCGCGCGCGCCCGCGTGGTCGTCGCCCGCGTCGTGACTGCGCCGTCTGTGCCGCCCGGCCCCGCTGCCCTGCCGCGCCTGCAGCCGCTCGGCCCCGCAGCCAGCGCGCGTGCCCGAGCCGCGCCAACTCCATCCGCCGCGCCCTCCCGTTGTTTCCCGCGCGCGCGTGCCGAGTGGCCGACCGCCTGGTCGCCGCCGCCGTCACCCTGTGCCGCGCTAGCCCGCGCCTGTCGCCCGTGTCGTCGCGCCGCTCCAAACCGCCCCGCCGTCATCGCCATCGTCACCGCCTCGGCCCCGCCACTCCCGCGCTAGCCTCCAAGGGACGGAGGCAGAGCCTCCCTCCTCCCTCTGCCGCGACGCCTCCACTCCCTCCTCCTTTTCCCGAAGAGGCAAGGGGACAAGCCCCTTTCCCCCCCTCCTTTTTCCCCTTTTTCCTTCCGCCGGCGTCATCCTCCCTCCCTCCTGTCGCCGTTTTGGCCGCTAGCCGGAGCGCCAGCTCGCGCCTTGACCGCCAAAGTCGGTTTCCAAACCGACATTGCCGCCCCCTATAAGCCCCGGGCGCCCTCCCTTCCCTTTTCCCCCATTCCTCCCCGTTTCTCGTCCGCGCCATTGCCGCCGTCTTCCAAGCTCTGTCTCGCCTCCGCCGTCCTTCGCCAAGCGCCGGGTGAGCCGGTGCGTTCGAGGACGCGGAAGGGGACTCCGGGCGCGCCCTCTCCTTCCTCTTCCCCGGCCCGAGGCCGGAGAGATTACTCCCGCGCCGTCGGCCTCTCGTCACAGCGCCCCGACCCGCACGGTAGTGCCTCTCTCCGTTCTTCCTCCTCGCTCCATCTCCCCCCCTTAGTTTTCGGTGGTAGCACGAGTAGCCTCCCCGTAGCTAGCCGGTGCCGCCCCGACCCTTGCCGTCGCTCGCCGAGTGCTCGCCGCCGCCGCCGCTCGAGCTCCGTAGCACCCGCTCGTCGCCGGCCTCGCTCGGCGTAGCTCCGCCCAATCCGACGCTAGCATCGGATTCCCGTAGCCGCGTAGATGCTCTCGCCGCCGGGAATTAGCCCCTCGTGACCTCACCGCCGTTTCCCCCTTCTTCCGCCGCCGGTTGTCGCCGCCGCAATCCGCCGCCGACGAACTCCCTCCGGCGAATCCGAGCCGTTGGCTCGTCTCCTCTCGTCCTGTGCAACCACCCGGTGTGCTCGCTATTGCCCGTATCGCCGTGGTTCGCTCCGCCGCTCGCCGCTGTTGTCCGCCGTCCGTTCCGGCCGGCGTCGTCGTCTACCTCCCGCCAGCCCACGTGGCAGCCACGCAGGCGCCACGTCGTCGCCAGCTCAGCCGAGGACGGGAAGGGCCGACCCCGGTCAGCCCCTCCCGTGCGCGCGTTCCACTGCGAGCCATGAGGCTGCGCGTGGGCCCGCCGCATCCGTTCCTCCGCAGACCGCGCGCGTGCACCGCGTCCCTCCCCCGCCCGCGCGCGTGCGCCGCGTGCTCCCTCCGCACGGTGAGCCGAGCCGCTGACAAGCGGGTCCCACCCGGGACCGCGCGTGGTGAGCCCAGTCCACCGGCCCTCTCTCTCCTCCCCTCCCGCGCGCGCGCACTTGGGCCGCCTTGGGCCGGCCGGCCCATTTAGCTCGGCCGGTCCGCTCCTTTTTCCCTTGGGCCGCGCCCTAGCCGCCCGAGGAAAAGTCTATAATCCCTCCCTCCTTCCTTTTCTTTTCTTTTCCAAAAAGGATTTAATTAAATCCTTTTCCTTTAGACCAAAAATCCAATAATCTTAGAAATTCAATATCTTCCTAACCGTAAGTCCGTTTGACTCCGTTCAACTTCCAAAATTCCTCAAATCTCGAGATCTATCTAATGGCACGCTTAGAGGTCATTAATAGGTCTTTATTTTCGCCGTTTGTTGAGTTGTCCCGTTTCGCGTGTAGTTCCGGAGCCCGAAGACCCGCAGTGCGAGGATTACGAGGATCAAGCTCCAGATCTCGAGCAAGGCAAGCCACCTTTGAACATCTTGAGCCTATATTTGAAATTTAATTATGTTGCTTGAAAATTATTATGCATTGATAGGATCGCACTTAATCTGTTGTCCCGTCTGCAAGGCAGATTGGCAGATCTACCTAATTTGTTGCATTTGATCCTTCCTTTGTTAATTGTGATACCATGCCCCCTTGCAACCATCTAGTTGCGTCTCGATATTCGTGCACCCAGTGCGAGTATCGACGGACGCCTTCAAACTTAAAATCTGAAAAACAACTTGGGTAAAACTTGGGTTTTACAAAAGACTTGGAAAACCCGACACCTAGGTCGGTGCTTGTGAACTAAATGAATTTCCAAAACCGCGGACCGGGGAACGTACCGGGTGTACGGTTTCCCGCTCTTGCACTTAAGGACCGTTTCCTTGGAATTTCATCCAAACATAAGACAAGTACGACCACATGGGTGGAATGGGACACCCCTGGCTGAGTAACTAGCTTATCAGGGGAGCCTTGATGCCGAGAGACATATGGATTCGCCGGGGTGGTGTCGGGGAGGACCCCTGGGCTTCCTGGCACAGTATGGTCTGGGACCTAACCTGTTGTTGGTCTGGGACCCCTCTCGTCGGCATATGGTAAACCTGTGTCGGCTTTGGAAATGCCTTGTCATGAAAGCTTGGAGGTCTCCCGACGTGGCTGATCCCCACGGGCTGGGTGATCCGGGTTAGTAATGTCGTGTGGGTAAAGTGTACCCCCTCTGCAGAGGTTAACTAACTGTTCGAACAGCCGTGCCCACGGTCATGGGCGGATGTGAGGTGATTCCTAGCGTAGTTTTGTTTGACTACTGCTTGTGAAATTGCTGTTGAGAAAAGAGGTTCGATGTTTGAAAAATCTGTAGCTGATGGGATCAGCTAGGCCCGGGTGGCCGTTTGAAAAGTTGTTGGCCCGGGTGGCCGTTGAAAAGCTATTGGCCGGGTGCCAACCTTGTTTCAATTCTAAAGACTGATACATTGCACATACTCCGTTCGGACGAGACGCACTGTCTCATCCATGTCGTTTGAGAAGCACTCACTTAGTTGTTTCAGAAAAGAGTTCGAATAAAATCAATTGCAAAAACACCAGCCTTTCTTTGAAGCCTGCATTAAACACCTTATTTCCCCTGGCTTGCTGAGTACTCCCGTACTCACCCTTGCTCTATATAAATAATCCCCCCCAGTTGCTGAAGAAGATGAAGCGGATCCGGCTGATGAGGAGTTCTTCTAGGAGCAAGCCGGCTACGAAGAGTTTTAGGGTTTCGGCCTAGTTCCCAAGTCGCGCCTGTGATGTTTGGTCCAAGCCGTGGCTTCCGTTTCCCTTTTGTAATGCAGTTGTGAGCTCGGGATCTGTCCGCAGCCCAACATGACTGTACTTTTACTCTATAATAAAGAGACCTCTGTTGCTGTGATATTCTGTCTCCCTGTGATACCAGCACTGTTTCCTGGGACTGGTATCGATTAACAGGTTAATTTGGAGCGTCACGGGCTAGTTCCGGTCGGCACTAGTTCGGGGCGTGACATGAGGCCAGCCAATAGCGCGATTAAGTGATGGTGGTGGAGAAGGGGGTCTAGCAGAGGGGGCGGTGGAGAAGTGATAATGTTGAGACAGAGGAGGAAAGAGAGAAAGGGTTTGGGTTGGTGGGTAATACACGAATTTTAAAGCTATCCAATATTCTTTTGGTATTCTCTTACATGTCAAGTATGAATTCAGATATTTCAACTGTTCAAAATTTTATCCTTTTGCATGCAACAGAGCCACAGACACAAAGGGTAGATCTACAATGTTTAGGTGTCGCCGCGACACCGATCATTTTTGGACAAAAACTTATGATTAACCTGTTTATTTATATACTCCCTCCGTCCTCTAATATAAGGGATTTTAACATTTTGCTTGCACTGTTTGACCATTCGTCTTATTCAAAAAATTTTAAAATTATTATTATTATTTTACTTACTTTATTATCCAAAGTACTTTAAGCACAACTTTTTATTTTTTATATTTGCATAAATTAATTAAATAAGACGAGTGGTCAAACAATACAAGCAAAATATCAAAATCACTTATATTATGGGACGAAGGGACTAGGATAACACTATATCTAGCTAAGCATAAATAGTATATTATGACGCCGATATTTATATTATGTTATCATCGAACCAATTTTCTGAATCCACACAATGTTATATCATATTGTAGTATAAATCCATTTCTCTTAAATTTGTAATAATTGATTATACCCTAATAATTTTATTGTTTTCCATGAGTTAACTTCATTTTCATCTTAGTACAGAAACTAACAACACCTAGGCGTCAACTCATATGAGCCCCGCGCATGGCTCCCCACATCGTTCGCCGTTGACACGTAACCTGCAGGCTCTAGCTACATCTGCAGATGCAGAGGCCAAAAGACAGCAGCTATAGCTGCCCCTGCTCATCTGCTGCAAATGACGCATGGGCTAGCTACCTAGGAGTAGGTCGCATGCATGCATGCATGGCGTATACTGAATACTGATACGGTGACTGGCGCACACATAATACTGGCTGGTGTACAGTGCCGCGCGCTTTTGGTCAGTGCTTTACTTACATTTTACTCGGGGAAACTATTCTAAAACTCTGAAGGAGATGTTCACTCGTTATTTATATGACACTTATAAAAAAGTATATTAACATGTGATTAAATTTGTTTTTCTTTTTATAACATGTAAAAGTTGAATTCTAACTTATTTGTTCGTGAGATGATATGTCACGTGTTAATACATACACTTTCTATTTTTGTATTTATTTTAGCGACATGTAAACACCAAAGGAACATTCTTTCCTGAGTTTAAAATCCACTCTCTTTAATTTACTTCTACAGCGTCACGCAGTTCCATAAACTAGAATATCCCCAGCAATAACACAACCAGACGGGACACATGAGCACATACAGCTTGGGTTGAAAATAACGAGAGAAACAGCGCTTCGTCTCGACGACTGCGCAGTTAGCGGCGAAGGCTTTTGGGTACTGCGATTTGTTAGTGTTTCTGTGCTTGACTGGATTGGATTATGCAAAGCTTAATTAGATTCAGAAATTAAAGCCTACTAAACGCGACGTGCGATGCACTAGCTACGGCAAAGTTAAGTTGCCGGCCGCTGCCCCTGTCTCCCTGCCTGTCTGCTGGGCCGGCCGTACCCTGCAAAGTGCAAGCAGCTAGCATCCCATCCATCCATCCATCCATGCAGGACTCACACGGGTGCATGATCGATGCAGCTAAAATGAAATGTCAAAAGCTTCTCCAGATTTTCCTTCGTGATATGATGCTGACGGTAAAGTAGTGTACTTGGAAGACATCGATCTCACATCTCTCGTGGAGTACGTGCATATATACTACGTGCATCATGCAGACAAATTACCTGCACATGAAGGCATCTTAATTTGCAAAAGAGTAAAGTGTACGGACGGTTCTTAAACTTGTAAAGGTGTCATTTAGATCTCTAAACTCTCAAAATGCATATTTAAATCCTAAAACTTGTCATAGTGTGTCATCTAGATCCCAAATCGCCACAACCCCTTCAGAATTCTACGTGGCGCTGATGTGGCATGCCACACGAACATGACGTGGCATTATTTTAACTGACAAATGGGACATTTAATTTTTTTCTTTTTCTTTTTTTCTTCTCTTTTGTCCCCTTTCTTCTCCTTTCTCTGTGATCCGTACAGAAGAAAGAAAAAAAAAAGAAGAATGAGAAGAAAACGGAAAAGAAAAAGAAAAGAAGAAAGAAAAAGAAAAGGACATGTTACGTCCATGTGGCGTTGCCACATCAGCGCCACGTAGGATTCTGGAGTAGACGATACACTTTGACAACTTCTGGGACCTGGATATATATTTTGAGAGTTTAGGGACCTATACGACACAACCCTATACCGCCAACGCACTTTTGTAGCATCACATACGCACATGTATCAGCTGCCGCGGTTTTGCTGTGTAACTAATCACATACATTGGGCGAGGAGAGATTAATTATTAATATATGGAGTATATGATGTGCCGCATCTTGCACTGAAGTTGAGGTTTTTGCATGGAATTGAACAAGCGCTGGAGAGATTCTTGGGTCTTTTCTGGGCGTCAAAAGGACAAGCCCTATGCTGCTATGCATCCATGATATCTCCCTACGAGTCAGAGCTCAGGGCATGGCAATATGGCATGGCAGCGCCCATGCTCCTGCAGGGGGCTAGCTAGAGAGAAAACGACGAGATAGCTAGCTAGCCATGCATGCATCTTCACCTGATTAAACTAACCCCATCACTCTTCTGCCTGCGTGTGTGCTGTGCAAAGCCGGCTATAAAATCACTTGCAACTCCAGTGCGAGAGCCCTTGGGCGACCAGAGAGGGAGAGGTTCCGGCCTGCTACCTCCTGGTCTCCTCTCTTCTATCCAAGTTTGAGAAGGCCAGAGATATATGCATGCTTGCTTGTATCATGTGAGTTCATGCGCAAGCATGGATATCTAGCTCTATTACTGCATGCATTGGTGTTAATTAGTAGGTGCATGCATGGCATCCTCGTCAATCCTGATTGATGTTTTGAACAACTGGTAATAATCTCGATCTCACACAGTTCTTGATTAATTATTCAGTTCCTGCGATTGTTGTTCTTGTCTAGCAAACATGCATGTACTTCTGAATTTACTTCGGCTTATGGTTTTCAGGTTATGTCTTTCACTTCATGCACGCGTGCGCAAATGATGTATATAGGTTTCAGGAGATGAAGTGCTCACTACTGCTCGGGCAGGTAGCTAGCAGTGTCGGCTGGAGCCATGTACATTGCTGATAGAGGCCGGCGAGCGGCATTGTTGCCGGCTGGAGAGAGGCTGGCCTTCACGCGGTGAACCAAGCTAGGATAGAAGAACAAAAAATGGGTCATGTGGCAAGCAGCTTCTGTTTATTTATTTTTCGTTTGTTCATGCTGTTTGATTGTTCTCTACTTAATTTGTACGGTTGTACCCAGCTCCTTACGTAGTTGCAGGCATTAACTACGTACTCTGCGGTGTTGAAATCTATGGAACTTCGTTTACGAGCCGAGCTTCATAACTGATCTGTGTCTGATGTCATTCAGAAAGTTTCTTATCTCAGTTGGATATTTATTGTGTGTATTGTTTCTTTCTTGATCAGATTACTCGATCTATGAGAGCATGCATACGCTTATGTCTCTAGATCTTTTAGTACACACCGAATAATAACACAACGCATATGAATGCATGGTTCCCCCAAATGTATTACTAGTAGTTGCAAGCTGTAAAGCTAACGAAATTGGTAGAGCCAGTTCTTAATTATAAATGTGTGTATGCATCACATTCTAGATCGAGAAGATATTGCATCTCCATCCACATAAATGTTTTTTTTTCTTGAAAAGCCGAATGCACGGCAATGAATCTCATAGTGCAATGTCACTTGATGTGACGCCGCTTCATGTACAACAACTGCCTTACGGTCAGAGCAACTGATTTGATTTTTCTTTCGTGGAGTAGAAAAACCATGTACAGTACGTGTACTCCGTGGTACGTACATGATCGATTCAGATACCCAATCTGTATACGTACTGACATGAAATGAGCTGTGTACCATGCGTTTTTTTTTTCAGAAAAAGTATAGTAGCCTATCAGATTTTTTTTATTCGGCCCATCAGATGGCCTGACGGTCCAGATCTTAGCCGATCAAGCCTACGCTACATGGGCTATTGGGCCGTAGCCCATAGATGTCTCAGCCGTGGGCCTGGAGGATTTCTGCCCATTAACTTCGCCGTCGCCACCTATGCGGTGATCGGGGTTTTTGTTTATTTCCTCTCTTTTTTGGCAGAGTGACTAGTACATTTTTTTTAGATAATGGAATGAACATTTCGGCCTTTGCTCATCAAAACTACAGCCAATTATTATAATGTATCACTCAAACGAAGAGTGTAGTTCATAATGAAATTAAACACACCCAACAAAATAAAAGACCAAACAGAGATAAGGAGTACACATTTATTCAAGTCTATTTGTAAATCTCCATCCATAGTTTGCAAAAAGTTGCATAACTGTCGTCTCAAGCCTGCGACATGCAACCTTCATAAGCTCTCCATCATCTTCATACTTTTGCAGCTGTGCCTAACACCGGAGCCAATATGTTGCCCTGAAAATTACCTGCAAATATGAGATAGATGGTGATTTGTCAAATATTATATCATTCCTACTCAACCACAGAGTCCAACATATGGCAGATGCTCCTACAAGTATGAGTTTACTCTTCTTCTTGTCAACCCTCAAAAGCCAACCATCAAACATATTAGATATGGTTCCAGGAAGGTATAAACCAAATGAGAACTGAACTGCTCTCCAAATAAATTTTGCATAATGACAATCTATAAAAAGATGTTGAATGGTCTCGTTTTTCATACAGACACAACATCTTAAACAATTAATCATCATCTCATACAATTATTCCAGTCGTTTTAACTTTTAATAGCCTGGATCGATCTGTGCTGGTACAAAAGAGAGCTAGCAGCCGCACTTTTCATAATTGTGCAAGAAAAACATAATTACAATGCTTTCTTTTTCAAATTATTATTGTACTTTTATTGGATCCCAAAAAAAAAAAAGCACTCCGGCCGGGTCGGTCGAGGGTGACCTGACCTTATAACCCATCCACCTTTGTTTAGGAAAGGAACACGCATCATTAGCCAAAAAAAAAGTCCATTTTCGATCTAGAAGCTCACAGTTTCTTTTCTAAAATTTCCCCAATTCTTGAATAAAAAACTGTGTTCTAACTCAGATTGAGAGTTCGGGAGGAAAAGGAACAGTACGTGGGCCCCGGCCTAATCCTCCCCGAACTTTTCGGACAAGTCCATGGGCTGTGTTTTTTTACAGCGGGCGAAAATGCGAAACGCATGTACGCATGTGTCACACGTGAGGAATCGCGAAGATTCCTAGCTGTTTCGAGGCAGCTGTGAACAACGGCAATACGACGTTGCTCATGTGACCCCAAAGATCCGGGGAGACATGAGTACTACTGCTGCAACAAATTAACAATGCGATTTCGCCAACTAATTGTGATCCCATGCAATCGATTTTTGATTTTTGCATGATGAGACCATAGAATTAGCAGACCGCATGCATAGATCGGAATGATGTGGATCAGAAAAATGCAGACCAAGCGCAGCAACGTAATCTGAATACGCGATTCTTCCTGTGAAAGCTGACGCGTTTGGTGACCGGGACACACACGACCGTTCTCTGTATAAATAGGACGCTCGGCAATCGATCCAGGCATCCAGCAAGCAGGCAAAGCAAGCAGCGAGCCAGCTACTGATCAGCAGCAGCTAGCTAGCTCAGCAAACACTGAATTTTGCGAGCTCCAGATCGAAGCAAGCAAGCAAGCTAACTCCCATGGCCAAGTTCGCTGCTCAGCTCAAGGACAGGTTTCTCGGCCTCGTCGAGCGCGTCGCCGGCTGCGGCCGCGGCGCCGGAGACAAGGGCGTCAAGGAACCCACCAAGCTGTCAACTGTGCAGGTAGGATGCCCCTGTTAATTTCTCAGACTGCCTGATTAATTTTACAGTCGTAGTGCAAATCCACTGGCACCATTGTGCTCATCTCACAGGATTAATTCCGTTACTTTTGCAGCGCGTCGAGATTAGATCAAGAGATCCTAATGTGTCTGGAGGAGAAAAGCCACCGAACAACTAATCAACGCTGCACTGAAATGATATGATGCCGTTGCTTTGCCTTGGTGATTTTCTAATACGAAGTAGTAGTAATTAAATTTGATGTGTGCGAGTACTTTATTCCTCTTCGCGTTGTAATTAAATTTGATGATTTTTTTTGTCACTGGGTTCCTTTTGTAACTCCAGGAGTGCATATGAGTGTGTGCTGTTTTTCTGTAACGTCCGTGATTACATCAAAATTTGAGTAAAGTTGTTTTTCCCTACCGAGACGTGGAAGTATAAAATTTCTGTGACCACGAGCATCACAAAATGTATGAGCCATTTCAGATCAGACAAAGACTCACTGGAAAAATGAAATCAAACTGGGCGACATATATATGATACTACAAGTAGTACTCTAGCACTAAGCTGCTATCTGATCATTATACTCCCTCTGTCTCGTTGTGCACGGATGGTTAAAAGTTGTGCACGGAAAATCATGATTGCATTTAAAATTGAATAGAGGGAATAAGTTTTAAAATTTAAATTTTAGCTACGACATGTAAATTGAAGACTAGACAATTGAGCAAGCCTTTAACAATATTCACTTAAACTGTTAATGAATTTAAAATTTAAAACTTGTAAGTGTTCTGCAGATCTATCTTGAAATGGGTTTCCACAATCTCATGAAATTATCAGATTTTTATCCTTAATTCTAATAAAAACTTGTTATTAAAGTTGCATCTCAAACACCGTCAAAAAAATAATATCAAATATCATATATCCAGATCATTTTGCTTGGTAACACCGTAAAATTGACGGACTTAAAAAAACCATCATATGTTGATATGTGGGCTCGGATCCTACAGTTATTCTCATGTACAATAATATCCCATTTTCATGCAACCCCTGCTGTATATATGTACATATATAGACCTTTCTTTAGAAAAGAATAAGTATGTACGAGTGTACGCTTTGTAGCACAAACGAGCAACAACCCATCAGCGGATAGGAGGACACATATACTTTTTTTTTTAAAAAAAAACGAACCGCACAAGACAGTGAAGTGCGAGTTTCATGTATTATAAAGCGTATATCGATCGAGTGTTCCAGTCGTAACGACGAACATGCAGATACCATCATCTATCATAATCCGTGCATGCATGGACCATGCATACATCATGCACCACCCACATGCTGCTCTGGTCGCTCCTCGCCTGGGCCTCCACCACTGATCGATATGCATGCGTGTCGCGCATGTGGAATTACGAGCTTTCCTTGGCTGTTCCGGGCCTCCTCATCCCTGCGTCCAAAAGCAAGCCGATCGAGGAAATCGTGAGACGATCAGATTAACAACCAAAAATTATCAAGGCGAGCAATACTACTAATTAATTAATCACGCTTGATTATAGTATTAGCCTGCATGCCACAGACATCGTATCATAGAGGGGATATATGGTTAACATTTAGTTACTCTCCACCTCTTCCTCCTTTTCCATTTCCTCCTATTCTTTTCTCTCTTTCTTTAATAGTGTCAGTCTTGCAATGTCTCTTTGAACGAATAAGATAATGCAACAGAGAATGTCATTAGATCTGCGTGCTCGCGTCGCCCAACCATATGATACACATGCGGGGTGACCGAGAAATTCTGATTCCGTCGCGCGGATCTGAATTCAGACGAAAACATAAAAAGTTAACTGAACTTGTTCTGAATATCCTTGCACGCGCGTGGGCCTCGCCTTGGCTGGCTAAAGCTTGCGAGTTCGGTGGCTCCAGCCGCGTATAAATGGGGCGCCCGGTGACGGCGAGAGGACTCACTCACTTCACTCACTCGAAGCAGCGCAACGAAGGCGACGAGCTCACTTGGTTGCAGTTGCAGTAGTAGCTCTTGCTGTGCAGTGCAGTGCAGTGAGCGTTTGAGGAGAGGTAGCAGTAGTAGCTGTAGTTCAGCTTGTGGCAGCTCCCATGGCCAGCTACGCGGCGCAGCTCAAGGACATGTTCTTCGGCCTCGTCGAGCGCGTCACCGGCTACGGACGCGGCGAGGACAAGGACGTCGCTGCAGGTAAGCAAAGCTTGCCGCTCTGAAAAACTGAACTGAAAACCCCATGCTGATAAAGGGAGTAGAGCGACTGAAGGCAATAAATCTCTGAAGAAACTCAAGAACCTGATATTTTCAGATAAAAGGATTGAGGCTGCATATGTGAATCGACCTGTGAAGATTTACTGATGCTGCATGAATGCTAATGACGTGAAGGTTTTGTTTGCTGTTTCTGCAGGTGTAGATGAGCCCAGCAAGTTGGCATCTGAAGAGGTTGCAGTAAGCAGCGAAGAGGTTGTGATTGTACAGCGCAATGAGATCAGATCAAGAGGCGTAGATCCCTCCGTGTCAGGCGGGAAACAGCCAGGGATCAATGCGGCCGGTATCTAGAGGGGATGATTTGATGAACTGAACAACTGTGTCCCCTTGAGTTCTCAAGTACTACTAGTAGTTTATATGATTGTGAGCGTGCTGTGTTACTACTATTGTTTGCTTGTGTATCTCAACCTCACTGAGTTCCTCTCTGTTCCAGTGTGTTTCTCTGATGTACTTGTCATCATGCATGGTTCATGATTACCAGTAGTAATTTGATGAACCTCTTCTTCATGCTATATCTTTTTCTTTGGATGGCAAGCTACTTTATGCTTCTCAAAGCTCATGTAAATAATGTTTTTCTAAAATATTACACGAGATACCTACGCACTATCATCACACACGATGTGCCCCAATAATACCATAACACACAATTAAAGAAACCAAAGTGAAGGCAATGCTCTTTGGTCGTACAATGGAGAGAGATTTCTTCAAAGAGACTAAGGGGGTGTTTGAATCTTCTGAAGATGAACACAAATATTAAATGTTTCACGCAAAACGATATGATAATAACATGTGATTAATTGAGTTTTAATTATTACAAACTTGAAAAATAGATTAATATGATATTTTAGAACAACTTTTATATAGAAAGATTTCGCATGAAACGCAATGTTTAGCAGTTTGAAAAGCGTGTCACGGGTATCTAAAAGTTTATCCAATTTTTGTTGAAGAAAAGAACGTAATCTTAGAGAGGACCTTAGAGAGTGTGTCATTGCTATCACTCGATCAGATTATTATCTGGATGGCTACTGAACTGTACTATTGATAATGACTTATGAGCTAAAGGATCATTTGGGCCCAGTTCTTTACATCTGGACCTGGTGCTCTGCTTGTTCACATGCATCAGAAATAATGTGCCCTGCCTTTTGCAGCAGTGGTAAGCCTTTTAACCTGGGTGTGTAGCGCAGCAGGGGGCAACTTGGCCATGGTGACCGCCAGTAGATGATTTCTGGAGAAGAACAGTCCTATCCATTGCCAATAACTGTTGCAACTCCTGGCCTCAACTTTTTTATGTGATCATCACCACTGCAACACCAACCAAAATAACAGACTGATAGCAGCAGCAGCAGCAGCAGCAGCAGCAGTGATTAGTGATCAATATAAGATTTAGAAACTAGATTAACACTATAACTATGCATACCGAGATTATTACTGATCAAAAGTTAGAGCAAAGAAGAGGATAATTCCAGATCTGGAAGTCAGCATCCATTCATCCAAACCAGACTTACTACCTGAGTCCCCTGACAAAGTGACACGTATACCAGTTCTACCCAGTAACTCGGGAGAAAAATGGGTCAAAGGCGTACGAAACCCACGAATAAACGAGACCCGTCGGATGTAAAACGGACGGTGGAGAAGGCGCCCTTATCCTGCCGCGCGAAAGCGCCATCTGCGTCCGAGAAGCCCGCCACGTTTGGTGCGGCCCACACACAGCCCATGCCGCCCTGCGTCTCGGCGAAGCAACGGTCACGTCGTCTCGCCGGCGTCACCGGGGAACGCGACAACCGCCGGCGAAGTTGACGGGAGGAGAATCCGGGATCCCCTCACCACCCGACGAAACATTTACCCGCGTCGAGCTCTTAGACGAGAGCGGATTGGCAGTTACCGTGTCTCGCGGGGCAGTTTCACCGGGCGGTGAACGGCCACCGTACCGCGTCTCGCGGTGTCTCCGGCCACTCGCTGTCCCCGCCGAACTTTCAAAAAGGAGGAGGAGGAGGAGAGGTGGCCGGCTTCTGAGAGGAGGAGAAGTCAGTGATTGCTCGCTCGTTTTTCCAAGAAACCGGCCGGACTCGAGCGCTCGTCAAGTCCGTGTTCCAGATCTGAGTTTTGTAGAGCCATGGCGGCGGCGGCGCGCGCGATCATATGCGAGATGGCGCCGCAGAGGGGGGCGGTGGTGGCGCCGGCGGCCCCGGCGCAGCAGAAGGCGACGACGAGACGGGACGGTGGGAAGATCATGCTCCAGCCACGCCTCTGCACGCTCCGGTCGTACGGCGCCGGCAGCGGCGTGGTGGCGCGGAGGCGGGTGGTGGAGGAGGAGGAGAGCGGCGGCGGCGGCGCGGGGTCCTCCCCGTTCTTCGCGTCGCTAGCCGACTACATCGAGAGCACCCGCAAGAGCCAGGACTTCGAGACCATCTCCGGCCGCCTCGCCATGGTAAGCAAGCGCGCTCGCCACCACCTTAGCCCGTCCATGACTAACCGTTTCTTCCCTCTGTCAACCTCGCATGCAGGTGGCGTTCGCGACGGCGGTGGCGGTGGAGTTGACGACGGGGAACTCGCTGTTCAAGAAGCTGGACATGCAGGAGATCGAGGAGGCGGCCGGGGTGTGCCTCGCCGTGGTCGCCGGCGCCGCCGCGTTCGCGTGGGTGTCCAGCGCGCGCACCAGGATCGGCCAGATGTTCACGCTGGGTTGCAGCGCCTTCGTCGACTCGCTCATCGACAACATCGTCGAGGCTCTCTTCTCCGAGGGCGAGCTGCAGGACTGGTCCGACGACGTATGAATCGACGTCATCAGCAATTCAGTATAGATCGAAATGATATACATGTATAGATATGCGTATAGTTATATAGATGGTATACTATAACAGCATGATTAGCAGAGGAAAGTATAGATCGATATGATATGATATGATAGATCAGCTGCATGTGTGAAGCAAACTTTTGCAAGTTTCATGATTTCATCATCGTCGATTCACAGACGCATGGCGCATGCAGAGATATGATTCAGATCATCAGATGGGATCCGGCCCACAGGATAGGATGCAGATCTAGATGGTTCAGACTTAGAATCATCGTACACAGATCCTGTAGATGGTTTTGGAAGGGTTCGGCCTATCATTACAACTTCGCAATCTGCATGGGAGTTCATTAGTCTGAATTCTGAGAGCAGATCTAAGGTTTGTTTTTTGGTCTAGCAAGGGAGTCCTGAATATGGCTGTGAAATGTGTATGTCTCTCTTCAGTGTATATATATACTGGGGGTTGATTGATCAGCCCCTAAAGTTAACTGTAACTAGAACATGTATCTTCTGAGGAAATAATAAATTCTAGAGTCTTGAGACTACGGTAAATTATGCTGCAGTGCTTATGCTTCGAATAGTTTTTTTTTTCTTTTAAGAACATTAGCTTCAAGGGAATTTCTATTGCACCCGCACCCAGCACACAAAATATGAATTCTTGTTTATGAAAAAAAAACATGGAATACACAATATGGTACTTTGTCTGTTTTTCAAATGTATGACACCGTTGACTTTTGTACATCTATTTGACCATTCGTCTTATTCAAAAATTTGCATAAATATGCAAACAATAATTCCCTCCGTTTTTTTAATATATGATGGCATTGACTTCTTAACAAACATTTCATTATTCGTCTTATTCAAAGAAAATTATGCAATCATCATTTATTTTATCGTGACTTGATTTATTTTCATATGTTCTCTAAGCATGAGTTAACATTTTTATATATTTTCATAAAAAAAATTGAATAAGTCGAATGGTAAAACGTTTATAAATAGTCAACGATATCATTTATTTAAAAATAGATGTAGTAAATCATTCGGTGGTTTATTGTTTACAGTTCTAATCCCTCCGTCCAATAAAAACCAACCTAGTACTAGATGTGACACATCCTAATACTACGAATCTGAATATAGCTCTGTCCAGATTCGTTGTACTAGATGTGTCATATCCAGTCCTAGATTCATTTTTTGTGGGATGATGAGAGTATACTGCTTCAATATCATTGCCGAGCAACGTGGGTTGAATTTCAGGATTCAAGTGTCATACACTAGAAAACACATATCCTTTTTCTTCATATCTTGACTTTTATATTTTTCTCATTTTCATCAATTTCAACCGTGTTAGGACATTCAACGTTCCATTACAATCAAGAGGCATTCTCTATGGCTTCGATGCAGCCCAAGACACTGGCCTTCTGCGACATGGCAGACATGAGAGCTTCATGAGCTGCTTTATTGTTCTTCAGAAGTGATGCCGAAAATAGGACCTACAAAACCAGAAGATTCAAAAAAAAAAAAACTCTGCATTAATCGATATGTAGCACGATTTGTGTCTTCTAGTTCAAAAATTAATAAACAGACAACTCACTGCCCATCTTGTAAGGTTTTGTTGCTGATCCTTGGTTAATGGCGGCTTAGTCCGGTTTATGAATCTCTAAAAGCACAGAAATATGCATGTGTTCATGCATTTATCATGAAATATCCCGAGAACACCTTGGAAATATAAAACTAAAAAAAGGAGATGATGAATTCGTGAATCACCTGAAGGGTGAAAAGATCTGCCGATTGACCGACAACTTTGTCATATTCTAGACCTTCAGCAGCGAGCCCTGCCATTGACACTACAGCTAACCTGATACAATATCCGTTATTTATTTTAGTGGTGTTTTTGGATGTTTCGTCAGTGTAATGAGCACATGTAATTTGTATATTTGTGTTGAATCAGAAACTATGAAGCTGATACAAAATAAACATGATTCTAAGAAAAAATAAATACAATACAGACTACAAGCATAGCGAGTTTGACAGAGTTACCTGTCTATTTCCTTTTGATCAAGCTGGCCACTGTATATTAGCTTTTGCAATTGATCATCTATCAAGTTAACATGCTCCTTTCCAATGTCCAAGGAATATCCCAGAATTGGTAGTCCAATCAAATAGGCAACTAATTTTCCAGGAAAACTAGTCAGTAAAAACCTATTTTCAGACATACTCCTATTGCAGGACTGGAGACATACCCAAAAAATGAGCAGCTTCATGCCTAGCAATTCTCTCCTGATAGTCAGGAAAAACAGTTGAAAATGCACCAATTGCTGCTTGCAGAAGACTGTGATGATGGAATGGAAAATTACAATCTATTCATGATAAAGTTGCAACATATTTTCATTGAGTATTCATAAAACAGATAGTGTTATTTGTCATGCCATAGGTAGTCTATGTCGAGTGATATGTAACATTAAATTAATTAATCTGACAAGTTTCGCTGCTTGAATATCCATTTAAAGAATCTTAGAAGATGTCAAACATCTGGATTGTTTGATGCCGGTTCTTCCAAACTTTCACAGGCTTATTAGCAGAGACAACAAACACATACCCGGGAGAAATACTTCCGATAGCCAATACTATCAATGAGATGCTTCCAATCAAGTAAGGAACGAAAAAGCCCCAATCCTGAGATAGAGATATATCATAGGATGTTTATTAATATCACTAGAAAATTATTTTGCAGGAACCTGTGACCGAAGCCTAATGCACTTATATCTTGTAAGGAAAAAAAAAAGGATTATTTTTATCAATCCAGAGTAGCACAAAGAGGAGGTAGCAAGGAAATACCCCAGGAAGCTGGCCTGCAAGAACGCCTAAGAATCCGGTTGAACCAACAACAGTGAACAAAAATGCTGCCTGCATGATCACAACAAGGAAAATGCAGGATTATGTTTCTGAACAAATTATGGCACTACTACTATTCTTCTGCATATGCAATTTTGCAATGCTTGATTCCAGAATTCCCACAAAATCACGTTGCACCATTGCAATTTGCAAATAACTAAACAAAGTTACAGATACATTTTTAAGCTGTGTAGCAAGCCTTACATCATTTCTGACACTCGGAATCGCCAGGTTCTCAGCGTTCTTTATCCCAAGCGTGGTGAGCTCTCGCAGAGATGTCTGTCACAATTCATAAAAAAAAAAAAAGAACACCAATCAGTTCAAGCTCCCATGCAACCGCATTGACCCAAAACTCTACCTGACGCTGACAACAGAAGTAGGGAAGAATGCTCTCTGCAACTGCAAATTCGAAGCGCTTGGTGCTCGGGAAGATATCGCACTGACCGTGCGGCGCGACACGTACGGCTGCGAGCTCCACCGCTTGGCCCACCCGAGCTCCTTCAGCTGGTCCATCGCCTGCTTCACTTCCTCGCTGTCCTTCTGCTCAATCCCCAAGTCCCAATGGTCTTAGCGCACACGCTTTGCAAGCACTTGTCTACATGTTCAGATCTCAGAAATGGGAGGAGGCATATGCACCTTGTCGATGGCGGCCTGGAGCGCCTTGAGGTCAACCCCGGGCGCCGCCGAGGAGGAGGCGGCGGCGGCGACGCGCCGCCATTGCCGGTGCGGCGCCGCGGCGATGAGCCGGAGTGGGTTGTGGGGGTTCGCGGTGGGCGCGACGAGGGCGGCCACGATCGCCATGGCTGTCTCCCCTGTCTGTGCAGCTGAGCGCCAAGCGGAGGGGATAACTCAAAGACTGGTCGGACACGCGTCGCGTCTCGGGTTTTCGGCTTGGTTTTTTTGATCTTGTGTGGTTTGGATTCTGTGCGCCGTTGGGCTCGTGTCAACGTGTCACCCGTTGCGCCTCCGGTGATCTCGTGCGATTGTGCTACTCTCCAGAAGATCTGAGCCGCACGTTGAGGACTGAGGAGCTCTCTGCAGCAGCGATCATGGATGAGTGAGTGATGTGTGCAAGTTCTAATATGGAAGCTGTAAAGATCAGGAAGAAAATGTACGTACTCTGCTATACAAATTTTATTTAGGTCCTGTTCAGTTGGTGGAATGAAAATTTTTGGATATCATATCGGACGTTTGACCGGATATTAAAAAAGGTTTTTAGACACGAATAAATAAACTAATTTCATAACTCGTCTGGAAACCGCGAGAAGAATCTCTTGAGCCTAATTAATCCGTCATTAGCACATGCGGGTTACTGTAGCATTTATGGCTAATCATGACCTAATTAGGCTTAAAAGATTCGTCTCGCGATTTACATGCAAATTGTGTAATTAGTTTTTCTTTTTATCTATATTTAATGTTTCATATATGTATCTTAAGATTCGATGTGATGTTTTTGAAAAAAGTTTTTTTGGAACTAAATAGGTGTAACGTCCCGCTTCTCTTAGGCCAGGCCCACTTACATCTGGCAGCTTTCATAGGTCATAGACTGCCCTTACAGACTAACACAAGTTTTTTCTGCATACTTTGTCCTCACTCATGTGCACTCGGGGAGAATTTCCCGATCGGTCACTCATCCCCCCTTACAGACCAACACAAGTTTTTTCTGCATACTTGTCCTCACACACGCGCCCGTGAAACCGCGAGAGTCGGCTCTGATACCATTTTGTAACGTTCTGTCTCTCTGCCTCTCTCAGGCCAGGCCCACTTACATCTGGCAGCTTTCATAGGTCATAGACTGACCTCACAGACCAACACAAGTTTTTTCTGCACACTTTGTTCTCACTCATGTGCATTCGTGGAGAATTTCCCGATCGGTCACCTATTTCAAATTGCTCCAGGTCAAGCACGCTTAACCCTGGAGTTCTTTGGAGATGGGCTTCCGAAAAATAAGTTGCAACTTATTGTTATGAGTATTCTATTAATTTTATTAAGCCCTGGGCCGGTGTCGGAGATATGGGCCGGGGGTATGTGGAGTAGAGGGGAATTACTTTCCCTTCGGCTACGTGACTCCGCAGGTTGGCCCCACTCGCGCGCCACGCGAGTCGTAAAAGTGTGTGGGGGGGGGGGGCTCGGGGTATAACGTCACCCCCTCGGGCTCTCCCGCGGCTTTGCCCCGAGGCCCTCACCCGGCCGCCGCGCGGCAAAGGGAGAGAGCAAGAGGGGAGCGTAGGCTGAACATCCATAAATGTGCGACGCCCCAACTGTCCCTCACCGCATTTAATGCGGTCAGGGCAAACGTGCGGCGCGCCTAGCTAATCCCTGTCCATCGGATGTGACCGGTCTGTGACCGGCCCATCTCTGTCACATCCGATGGATAAGGCAATCATGTCCTCACGTCGCCCATGTCCCCGGCGGAGTGGGGGTGGGTATGACCCATCATATCCGGGCGCCACTCGAAGAAGGGCTGTTGCATGTCATCGTTCATTTATGAAGGAATGACAGGGCAGTCCCCCGTGTCAGGCGGGGGACAGCGTCGGGTTCCGCGCAAGAATCGGTTATTGCTTAGCTTCCGGGAGAAGGCACAGTTTGAAGCAAAAAAAAAGGTGGAGTGGGGTTTCCCCCTTCCCATGGAGGGTAGGTAGAGGCGGCACATGTGGTATCCTCTTAAGCTATAAAAGGAGGACCCTGCCCACTGAGAAAGGGGACGAGGCCCAGAAAGCCTGAACCCAGAAGAGAGGAAGCAAGTGCGCCCTCTGGAGTAAAGAAACCCTTGTAAAACTCATCCATAATCCCAAACACAGGAGTAGGGTGTTACGCTCTATAGCGGCCCGAACATGTATAATCCGACCGCGTGCATCCACTCCTGGTAGTCCTAGGGACGAGCAAGCGACAATTGAGAGACGAGCCTCCGCCCCCGCCGAACTCACGAAAGGGGGGGGTCTTACGATTCCCCGCTATTGAGGGACTTCCCTCGACAGCTGGCGCGCCAGGTAGGGGACGGTTGCGCGTTCCGAGAGGAAATCACTTTCTTCCGTCCAAACTTTTTCCAGGCCTTCGCCGACCATGGTTGTAACGCCCCGATTTTCGTTCGGGATTAAAAATCATTTAATAATGCATTTCCTAGAAATTAAATAAAAATTTAAGCAATTTATTCGAGTGAATTAATGGGAGAATTAAAATTTTCCCTTAAAAATCATTGGCCGGGAATATTTTGCAATATTCTTTGTGCCCTAAAATACTCTCTGAAATTTCCCGTGAATTTTCGGAGCTCAAGAAATAATTTTAAATAGCACAAAGTTCATTTAACCAATTAGAATAAAAAGAAAAGAAAATAATCTTCCCCTTCCTTCCTTTCGGGCTCGGCCCAAATTCCTCCCCTCCTCCTTCCTAGGCCGGGCTTCCCTTCCTCGGCCCGCTCGGCGCTCTCTCTCCCTCAAGTCTACATTTCCTCCCTAGCCCGTTTTCCCCTCCCCCTCTCTCCGACAGGTGGGCCCCACATGTCATCTCCTACCTCCAGCTCCATCTCCAACCGCCGCCATGGCCGCCAAATCCTCCCACGTCGCTGCCTCTCCCGCACGACTCCCTCTCCCGCGCATGCGTGGACGCGGTCGTCGCCCACGTCCGCGCCGTTTCCCCCCACTCTCCCCGCAAAATCCGGCCACGTCGCCGCCTCCCGCATCTCTCTCTCCTCCCACGTCGCCGGCCGGTTTCTACCTCTCTCGGGCTCGATCCCGCCTCCCCTCCCCTATAAAAACATTCCCCGCACCTCCCTCTCCATTTTCCCCTCTCTCCCGAGCCCTCCCGTGCACGAAAACCACCCCGCCACCGTCGCACCTCCCGCCGCCGCTCGCCGACGACCCTCCAGCCGGTCGCCACAGCCGCTCCCACCACCGTCGTTCCGCGCGACCGCCACCAGCGGCTTCGCCGCGTCGTGCCACACCCCGGCGTCCGCTCCATTTCCCCTCCCCGCCTCCGTAGCACCGTCACCACGCGCACCACCTCCTTCCACCGAAGCCGCCGACTCCAGCCGCCGCTTGGCGCCGCTCCTAGCCACCCAAGTCGCGCTGTCGCCGCCGCTCGCTTCGCAGCGCCGAGGAGCACCTCGGCCGCCGCTTTTCACGGCCGGGATCCCGCCGGAACACGGTTCCCCTCGCGCCGGTGAGCATCCGCCGCCCGTTCTCCCCTCCGACCAGCGATTCATGCCGCTGGGAGCCTCTCTCCCCCTCCTAACCTCTCCCCCATCCTCCCCAGGTCCTTCCGGCCGCGTCTGCCGGTTCCCGCTCGCGGAACNCGCCGGCCGCCGTTCCGCCTTCATCCCGAGGAGCGCCGACGCCGAGCTCCCCCCCGCCTTTCCCCGCCCCTCGTCGCCGCGTCCTTGGTGAGCTCCTCNTTTCCTTCTTGCTTCCTTCTCTGTCTCCCGTGCGCGCTGTCGCGCCGGTGGCCGCCGCCGGCGACCACCGGGCCGTGCGCCGCTGCCGTTAGGTCGGCCGGCCGGCTTGCCGCCGCCCCGCTCGCCTGGGCCGCCCGGATCCCCTTGCCGCGCCTCACCGCCGCTTTCTCGCATGCACCGGCCATCGCCGCAGGAGGCCGCGCCGCCGCGAGCCGTCGCTCGGCCGGGCCGGCCTGAGCCGTGCCCGTGCTCAGCCGCGCCACCCCGTGGTCCCGGTCCACGGTGGACCGATTCCCTTGACCCGCTGACGTGTGGGGCCCGCCTGTCGGCGCCGGCCTATTTGATGACGTCAGTGCTTAAGCTTTTTCCTTTGAGAAAATAAATAATAATTGCACAATAAATCGAGTTTAATTCTAGAAATTCATTTAAATGGCTCAAAACTTCTAAAATTCATACCTAATTCATTCGAACTCCGAATTGAGCCATTCAACTTGCAAAATTCATCTAAAATTGAGCTCTACATGTTTGTTTAGTTTTTATGTACTGTTTTCTTGGTTTTTATTAGAGTTTTTCCTCGTTTTGCATGCCAGCGTGTAGAATCCGTCGTTTTGGAAGTCCGCAGTCGCGAGGAAAAGAGTTCGGAAGATCAAAGTGAAGAAGCAAGGCAAGTCACACATTCCCCCTGAGCATGTTGATCCCAATTTACAAATGTTTTACTGTTTGCAAATAAATATGCATGTTTTGCTAATTACATGGGGTCAGGGTTTTACCTATCTGCTCGCTTGTGCCATGTTTACTTGATATCTGTCCTTTGTCAACCATGGGTAATAAATCGCCTAGCTTGTGTTACTTTGATGACCTAGCTAGAACTATATGCTTAGCCATGCTTAATTACCACTAGCTTAGTCGATGGGATAATTGCAGTATTAGACATTCTAGTATCTTGTTGAGCTGCGTGCTCGAGACATCTGGCCATGCTTCATGGTCGTAATTATCCAACTAAAATGCAACTGAATGGTGGGCTGTGGGTGCATGGTTTTGCTAGTCGCACCCATGGCAATTAAGGACCGGTTCGCGGGATGCCCTGGAAGAACTTATCGTACTTACCACAAGCCAGCGTGGGCAACGGCTGGGCTTGTAGTGTAGCTTTCCTCTAGCTGACGCATCCAGGCAAGGGTGGGCGTGATGGAGCGGGGCGGGCCCTGCGACGGCCTCTGTTGCTTTCGGATTCACCTAGGCACGAGAGGGGACTGCCCGTTGCCCGCTAGGGACGGGGGTGAAACCTGAGATGTGGTGTGCTTGGCTAGAGGGGGTTATGTGAAGGGTCCTGTCACGGCCTCTTTCCGGTATGTCGTTGTGGCATGTCGGCACACGGTAACGTGTCGTGGGGCTGTGTCTTGTGGGTACAGTTGTACACCTCTGATCAGAGTAAAACTATTCGAATAGCCGTGCCCGCGGTTATGGGCGGTCGACCAGATTCACCGTGATTAGTC